TTTAAAAAATCCACGCCTTGTATGGATGCTTGAAAAAATATTCTTTAAAAAATCCACGCCTTGTATGGATGCTTGAAAAATATTCTTTAAAAAATCCACGCCTTGTATGGATGCTTGAAAAAATATTCTTTAAAAAATCCACGCCTTGTATGGATGCTTGAAAAAATATTCTTTAAAAAATCCACGCCTTGTATGGATGCTTGAAAAAATATTCTTTAAAAAATCCACGCCTTGTATGGATGCTTGAAAAAATATTCTTTAAAAAATCCACGCCTTGTATGGATGCTTGAAAAAATATTCTTTAAAAAATCCACGCCTTGTATGGATGCTTGAAAAAATATTCTTTAAAAAATCCACGCCTTGTATGGATGCTTGAAAAATATTCTTTAAAAAATCCACGCCTTGTATGGATGCTTGAAAAAATATTCTTTAAAAAATCCACGCCTTGTATGGATGCTTGAAAAAATATTCTTTAAAAAATCCACGCCTTGTATGGATGCTTGAAAAAATATTCTTTAAAAAATCCACGCCTTGTATGGATGCTTGAAAAAATATTCTTTAAAAATCCACGCCTTGTATGGATGCTTGAAAAAATATTCTTTAAAAAATCCACGCCTTGTATGGATGCTTGAAAAAATATTCTTTAAAAAATCCACGCCTTGTATGGATGCTTGAAAAAATATTCTTTAAAAAATCCACGCCTTGTATGGATGCTTGAAAAAATATTCTTTAAAAAATCCACGCCTTGTATGGATGCTTGAAAAAATATTCTTTAAAAAATCCACGCCTTGTATGGATGCTTGAAAAATATTCTTTAAAAAATCCACGCCTTGTATGGATGCTTGAAAAATATTCTTTAAAAAATCCACGCCTTGTATGGATGCTTGAAAAAATATTCTTTAAAAAATCCACGCCTTGTATGGATGCTTGAAAAAATATTCTTTAAAAAATCCACGCCTTGTATGGATGCTTGAAAAAATATTCTTTAAAAAATCCACGCCTTGTATGGATGCTTGAAAAAATATTCTTTAAAAAAATCCACGCCTTGTATGGATGCTTGAAAAATATTCTTTAAAAAATCCACGCCTTGTATGGATGCTTGAAAAAATATTCTTTAAAAAATCCACGCCTTGTATGGATGCTTGAAAAAATATTCTTTAAAAAATCCACGCCTTGTATGGATGCTTGAAAAAATATTCTTTAAAAAATCCACGCCTTGTATGGATGCTTGAAAAATATTCTTTAAAAAATCCACGCCTTGTATGGATGCTTGAAAAATATTCTTTAAAAAATCCACGCCTTGTATGGATGCTTGAAAAAATATTCTTTAAAAAATCCACGCCTTGTATGGATGCTTGAAAAAATATTCTTTAAAAAATCCACGCCTTGTATGGATGCTTGAAAAAATATTCTTTAAAAAATCCACGCCTTGTATGGATGCTTGAAAAAATATTCTTTAAAAATCCACGCCTTGTATGGATGCTTGAAAAAATATTCTTTAAAAATCCACGCCTTGTATGGATGCTTGAAAAATATTCTTTAAAAAATCCACGATTTGTATGGATGCTTGAAAAAATATTCTTTAAAAAATCCACGCCTTGTATGGATGCTTGAAAAATATTCTTTAAAAAATCCACGATTTGTATGGATGCTTGAAAAAATATTCTTTAAAAAATCCACGCCTTGTATGGATGCTTGAAAAAATATTCTTTAAAAAATCCACGCCTTGTATGGATGCTTGAAAAAATATTCTTTAAAAAATCCACGCCTTGTATGGATGCTTGAAAAAATATTCTTTAAAAAATCCACGCCTTGTATGGATGCTTGAAAAAATATTCTTTAAAAAATCCACGCCTTGTATGGATGCTTGAAAAAATATTCTTAAAAAATCCACGATTGTATGGATGCTTGAAAAAATATTCTTTAAAAAATCCACGCCTTGTATGGATGCTTGAAAAAATATTCTTTAAAAAATCCACGCCTTGTATGGATGCTTGAAAAATATTCTTCAAAAAAGTCCACGCCTTGTATGGATGCTTGAAAAAATATTCTTTAAAAAATCCACGCCTTGTATGGATGCTTGAAAAAATATTCTTTAAAAAATCCACGCCTTGTATGGATGCTTGAAAAAATATTCTTTAAAAAATCCACGCCTTGTATGGATGCTTGAAAAAATTTTCTTTAAAAAATCCACGCCTTGTATGGATGCTTGAAAAAATATTCTTTAAAAAATCCACGCCTTGTATGGATGCTTGAAAAAATATTCTTTAAAAAATCCACGCCTTGTATGGATGCTTGAAAACATATTCTTTAAAAAATCCACCCCTTGTATGGATGCTTGAAAAAATATTCTTTAAAAAATCCACGCCATGTATGGATGCTTGAAAAAATATTCTTTAAAAAATCCACGCCTTGTATGGATGCTTGAAAAAATATTCTTTAAAAAATCCACGCCTTGTATGGATGCTTGAAAAATATTCTTTAAAAAATCCACGCCTTGTATGGATGCTTGAAAAAATATTCTTTAAAAAATCCACGCCTTGTATGGATGCTTGAAAAAATATTCTTTAAAAAATCCACGCCTTGTATGGATGCTTGAAAAAATATTCTTTAAAAAATCCACGCCTTGTATGGATGCTTGAAAAAATATTCTTTAAAAAATCCACGCCTTGTATGGATGCTTGAAAAAATATTCTTTAAAAAATCCACGCCTTGTATGGATGCTTGAAAAAATATTCTTTAAAAAATCCACGCCTTGTATGGATGCTTGAAAAAATATTCTTTAAAAAATCCACGCCTTGTATGGATGCTTGAAAAAATATTCTTTAAAAAATCCACGCCTTGTATGGATGCTTGAAAAAATATTCTTTAAAAATCCACGCCTTGTATGGATGCTTGAAAAAATATTCTTTAAAAAATCCACGCCTTGTATGGATGCTTGAAAAAATATTCTTTAAAAATCCACGCCTTGTATGGATGCTTGAAAAAATATTCTTTAAAAAATCCACGCCTTGTATGGATGCTTGAAAAAATATTCTTTAAAAAATCCACGCCTTGTATGGATGCTTGAAAAAATATTCTTTAAAAAATCCACGCCTTATATGGATGCTTGAAAAAATATTCTTTAAAAAATCCACGCCTTGTATGGATGCTTGAAAAAATATTCTTTAAAAAATCCACGCCTTGTATGGATGCTTGAAAAAATATTCTTTAAAAAATCCACGCCTTGTATGGATGCTTGAAAAAATATTCTTTAAAAAATCCACGATTTGTATGGATGCTTGAAAAAATATTCTTTAAAAAATCCACGCCTTGTATGGATGCTTGAAAAAATATTCTTTAAAAAATCCACGCCTTGTATGGATGCTTGAAAAAATATTCTTTAAAAAATCCACGCCTTGTATGGATGCTTGAAAAAATATTCTTTAAAAAATCCACGCCTTGTATGGATGCTTGAAAAAATATTCTTTAAAAATCCACGCCTTGTATGGATGCTTGAAAAAATATTCTTTAAAAAATCCACGCCTTGTATGGATGCTTGAAAAATATTCTTTAAAAAATCCACGCCTTGTATGGATGCTTGAAAAAATATTCTTTAAAAAATCCACGCCTTGTATGGATGCTTGAAAAAATATTCTTTAAAAAATCCACGCCTTGTATGGATGCTTGAAAAATATTCTTTAAAAAATCCACGCCTTGTATGGATGCTTGAAAAAATATTCTTTAAAAAATCCACGCCTTGTATGGATGCTTGAAAAAATATTCTTTAAAAAATCCACGCCTTGTATGGATGCTTGAAAAAATATTCTTTAAAAAATCCACGCCTTGAATAATCCTTAAAAAAAATATTCTTTAAAAAATCCACGCCTTGAATAATCCCTGAAAAAAATATTCTTTAAAAAAATCCACGCCTTATATAGTCCCTGAAAAAAATATTCTTTTAAAAATTCACGCCTTATATAGTCCCTGAAAAAAATATTCTTTAAAAAATCCACGCCTTATATAGTCCCTGAAAAAAATATTCTTTAAAAAATCCACACCTTATATAGTCCCTGAAAAAAATATTCTTTAAAAAATCCACGCCTTATATAGTCCCTGAAAAAAAATATTCTTTAAAAAATCCGCGCCTTATATAGTCCCTGAAAAAAATATTCTTTAAAAAATCCACGCCTTATATAGTCCCTGAAAAAAATATTCTTTAAAAATCCACGCCTTATATAGTCCCTGAAAAAAATATTCTTTAAAAAATCCACGCCTTATATAGTCCCTGAAAAAATATTCTTTAAAAAATCCACGCCTTATATAGTCCCTGAAAAAAGTATTCTTTAAAAAATCCACGCCTTATATAGTCCCTAAAAAAATATTGGAAAAAATATTCTTTAAAAAATTCACGCCATGAATAAACCTTGAAAAAATATTCTTTAACAAATCCACGCCTTTTATTATCCTTGAAAAAATATTATTTTTTAATCCTAACTGGTCTTTCTGGCCTTTTTTCTTCAAAAAATCCTTTTTTTATCCTTGAAAATTGTTTCTCCCAATAACATTTGTATCTGTTGCCCTGTCTGCCATTGATGACCACAAATCTCAAAGGACATTTTTAATGTTCCAAAAGAAAAAACTTTGGAAAAAATACTTATTGGCCTGTCCAGACGGCATCAACAAAACTTGCAAATAAAATTCCCAGGATAATGATATTATTTATTAAAATCCATTTGTCTGCAACTTCTGCTGAGAATTGTCCTGCTGTTGTGGAGTTTGTTGTTGTTGACAACTGGAATACAAATTTAAATTTGTCACAACAACACAAATGGCATCAGGGTATTAAATAATTTGTTACAAATGATTGCTACGCCATGGCTGGAATACTTCCCCTGCCCCTGCCCCTCTCCACCAACCATAAATGCAGTTTACAATGTCAAACACCCAAAAACGTATCCTTTACCCTTCCCAAAGAAGTGGCGAAGTGCTGTTTGTGGCACTTCCAAAGTATAACTTACCTGATATGAATGTAATCTCACTTAGCATGATCCAACGTGCTGCAAAGTATAAATGCAATTGCAGATATTTGCCCAAACGATGATGTAATTTGATTGTCACGTCCCGGGCGTGATCCAATACAACGTCAGGCATGTACGAGAACTGCACCGGCTCACCGATATACTGGCGTCCGCCAATGCTAAAGAAGACCTTGGCATGCACAAAGACCTATGGAAGAGAAGGAAAGGGGAGAAAAGAAAAAAACGAAAAGGGCATGAGAGTGGTAGTGGTAAGCGTCAAGTTATTTCGTTTCCTCGTTTTTTCTGTTTCTTTCGGGTTAAACAGGTGCCAAAAGTTATGTTTGTATGACGGAATGGCTGGATGACTTCATGTCCGCCTGAATGTCTGACTGTCTGACATGGCTATGTACTTTGGAACCTCTTCGGCTCACGTGAAGCAGGCAACCTGAGTGGCATTAACAATTAAATTAAATCACACACACGCACACATACCCTGGCTCGTTCTGAACTTGGAATACACTGTGTGATCATTTGACCAATGGCCGCCGCCTGTTCCTGGTGGTGTTGCAGTCTCAATTGCTGCTTGGTCACTTGGTCACATTTTAATGGGTTTCAGTTTAAAACCAGGCGAATTACAAATTGCATTAAAATGGCTGAGGATTTTTCTTGGCACAGTGGGTGGAAGAGGAAATTAAAACGGGTAGAAAATTCAAAAGGTCTTAAGTTGGGCCGGGCCTAACTTTGAACATTTCCATATCTCAACTCAAGATAACAATAGAGACCCCAATATCAAATTTGAGGATACCAGCCCTGTCCCTTCACCCAATGCCAAATTTAGTACGCTTCGTACAATTAGAGTACACATTTCCGAAACCACCTCCATATCCCAACTCTAAATACCAACAGAAAATTCAATCTGAAATTTGAGGTTTTCAGCCCTGTACCTTCACCCAGTACCATTTATTACTTTTCGTACAAATGTAGGAGGCATATCCAAAACCACTTCCATATCTCAATTCCAGATACCAACAGAGACCTCAATATCGAATTTCAGGATTCCAGCCCTACCCCTTCACCCAATGCCAAATTTAGTGCGTTTCGTACAATTATAGTACAAATTTCCAAACCACCTCCTTATCTCAACTCCTGATATCAACAGAAAACTCAATATAAAATTTGAGGTTTTCAGCCCTGTACCTGCACCCAATACCAAATTAAGTACCATTTAGAAATTTTCGTACTAATGTGGGAGGTACCTCTATATCTCAATTCCTGATACCAACAGAAACCTCAAAATCAAAACTGAGGTTTCCAGCTCTATTTTTCACCCAATACCAAATTTAGTACCATTTAGTACTTTTCGTACAAATGTGAGACTCATTTCCGAAACTTCTCAATTCGTATAACCAACAGAGACCTCAATATCAAATTTAAGGATTCCAGCCCTATCCCTTCACCCAATACCAAATTTCGTACCATTAAAGTACGTTTCGTACAATTAAAGTACGTATTTTCATATCTTCCTCCTACTCTCAATTCCTGATACCAACAGAAACCTCAAAATCAAAACTGAGGTTTCCAGCTCTATTTTTTCACCCAATACCAAATTAAGTACTATTTAGTACTTTTCGTACAAATGTGGGACTCTTTTCCGAAACTCCTCAATTCCTGATACCAACAGAGACCTCAATATCAAATTTAAGGATTCCAGCCCTATCCCTTCACCCAATACTAATATTAGAACCATTTAGTACTTTTCGTACAAATGTTTCGTATCCAATACCACCTCCATATCCCAACTACAGATATCAACAGAGACCTCAGTATCAACTTTGAGGTTTCCAGTCCTATTTTACAACTAATACCAAATTAGGTACTATTTAGTCCTTTTCGTACAAATGTAGAAGGCAAAACCACCTTCTACTCTCAATTCCTGATACCAACAGAGACCTCAACATCAAAATTGAGGATACCAGCCCTGTCCCTTCACACAAGGCCAAATTTAGTACATTTCGTACAATTATAGTACACATTTCCAAAACCACCTCCATATCCCAACTCCAGATATCAACAGAGACCTTAGTATCAACTTTGAGGTTTCCAACCCTATTTTTTCACCATAATCTCAAAAATAAGTACTATCTAGTACCTTTCGTACAAATGTAGGAGGCATATCCAAAACCACCTCCAAATCTCAATTTTAGATAACAACAGAGACCTCAATATTAAATTTGAGGATTCCAGCCCTATCCCTGCGCCCAATACCAAATTTAGTACTATTTAGTACATTTCGTACAAATGTAGGAGGCAAATCCAAAACCACATACATACCTTAATTTTAGATACCAACAGAGATCTCAATATAAAATTAGAGGTTTCCAGCCCTATTTTTCCACCATACTACCAAATTAAGTACTATTTAGTACTTTTCGTACACTAATTGTGCCAGCTTCCAAAAACCCTTTGGTGCATCTATCATACACCTCATCTGTGTCTCTCCTTAAATATACCTTTCGTACCGTTCTAGAGCGAATTTCTGAAAACCCAGCCTTATCTGGCCCTTCGGACCAAGAGTGACCCTCACCCAAAAATTCAAGATTCTAGCTTTAGCCGTTCCGACTGGGCGCTGATGAATCGTTAAGTCAGTCCGTCAATTATGTACTATTTTTTACTCTTTTGGTACTTATTATTATGTACACGGCAGATTTCAAACCCCACAAATAGTCAACATTTCAAATAACCAAAATGCTTATAAGCATCCGATTCCTTTCAAATTTCATACATCTCAAAATGTCTATTAACACAAGATCTGGTGTGAAGTTGATAGATAACGGTCCACCCCTTCCGGTATCTACCCCGCAAAGGGTCCAAATTATCGATATTTACGTCTCTTATAATTTGCGAAACAAGTCAGCGATTCTCTTAAAACTTGGTAACCTGATATCTGATGTGAATATAGAATTCATCGCCTAACTCCGTCGGGTACTTCCCCCACAAAACATTTTTATTAATTATTCGCATAAACTTGGAAATAAATGTTAGCTGCTCATCCCAATATTTTTTTCATATAATTTTTCAGTATAAGATGAAGTGGAATACTTCGGTCCGCTATATTTGATATCATCGGACATTTCTGAATTTTCCAAAAATTACATTAATGATGTAAAGGCGAATGAAGTGTTTGATATAGCCCAAAAGTGGCACATTTATTTAGGTTAGATACGAACTGGACAACATTGCCACATTCCCTTGGAACGTCGCCCCACCCCCCTATAAAGGGTCAACAGCTTGAATAATCATAGCCCCAATCAACATATATAAATTCCAAGCAAGTCATAAATTCCATATTCATCTCAGGTTTCTGGTTGAAAGAAATTTTTAGATATCGGAATTTGTAAAAAATTTCTGACTTGTTTCGCAAGTAATGACAGATAAATCATTTAAAAATTTTCAATTGATTTTTGTGGGTGAGGTACCAGGAAGATTGAATATATATATTCCACTTGAACTTGAACTTTATGGTTATTCAAAAAGTTGACCCTTTGTGGGGAAGGTAGAAGAAGGGGTGAACCGATATATTCCTTCTTAGCACCAGACCTTGGGTAAATTATATTAATGGGATGTGTGAAATTTGAAGACTATCAGACATTTTATGAGAGTTGTAAATATTCAAAATTTTGACCATTTGTGAGGGAGGTACTTGATGGAGTGGACCAATATAGTTCATTTTCACACCTGACCTAGCACTGGAGCAAATATTGGGATATGCAAAGTTGGAGCAAAATCGGATAATCCTTTCTCTTTCTGTGCAAAAAATATATTTTTTTGAAAATTTCGACCTTTTGTGGGGAGGTACCAGAAGGAGTGGACCGATTTTGCCCATCTTAACACCAGACCTTGGGTTAATATAAATATTGGAATATGTGAAATTTGAAGACAACCGGACTCTTACATCACATTTTATGAGATTTGTAATTATTCAAAATTTTGACCATTTGTGGACCGACATTTTCCATTTGCACACCTGACCTAGCACTGGCGCAAATATTGGGATATGCAAAGTTGGAGCAAAATCGGATAATCCTTTCTCTTTCTGTGCAAAAAATATGTTTTGAAAATGTCAACATTTTGTGGGGGAGGTACCAGAAGGAGTGGACCGATATTGCCCATCTCCGAACTCATTCGAAGTGTGATGATAATATTACGATGTACCAAGTTTGGACCAAATCGGATATAGCCAGACGAACGAACGGACATCGCTAGATCGTCTCCAAATATCCTGAAACGGATTTGGTCCAAAGGAATCTAGGGTCTAAAACCGTTATTTCGATGAGGCACGTTTTGACCGTATCAACTGATATATACCGTAGCCATATGGCTGAGGATATAAAAATGTGTGTTAAGTATCCAAGTTTTTTTGGCTAAAGGGTCCTTGCAAAAACATGTTTCAAAAATCCATTATTGTATGCATTTTAGTTCTTTTAAAAAATCCTTAAAAGCCAAGTTGAAAGAAAACAAGAAAACTCTTAAGAAATCAATATTTTTTGAAAAAAAAAAAATATTTTTAAAACCAGTAAAGAAAGTCCTAAAGTCGGCCAGGGCCTATTTTAGTAGAGCTCCGCATAACAATTAAAAGTTTTGATGGGAGAATTCAATCATACAAGCTATAATTATAATTATAACTTAAAGTTCAAAGGACTAAATATGCCGAAGCATTTGTATCTTTTAAATTCGGACTTGTATTGCCCATTTGGTGCACAATTAATTTGAAATCGGATAAAGATATATATGGGAGCTATATCCAAATCTGAACCGATCTTGATAAAATTTGGCAAAGACATTTCTGAGCTGTATTTCCTATATTTTCCTGAATATCGTTGTTACGGAGTGCATATTACGACTGTCGATAACAAATATAACAAATCGGATGAACAGTATATATGGAGGCTATAGCTATATCTGAACCGATCTTCACCAAATTTGACATACTAGCTTCTAGACTCAATTCGGTCGTATGTGCCAAATTCCATCCCATTTGGGTAAAATTTAGCAAGATAAAATTTAGCAAGAGTATTTCTGAGCTGTATTTGATATATTTTCCCAAATATTGTTGTTACAGAGTGCATATTACGGCTATGGAGGGCAAAAATAACAAATCGGATGAACAATATATATGGGAGCTATAGCTATATCTGAACAGATTCCAAT